CCCGGCGGAAGCCTCCCGCCCTGCCGGTGCTGCGCCGCGGGAAGGCGGGAGGCGTGCGGCCCTCCGCGCTGCAGCGAGCCGTCGCCGGCGGAGGCCGGCGGCTCGGCCTCGTCCGCCGATGCCTTTCGCTGCCGCTTGTAGTCGCGCTCCTGCTCCTCCTCCTCCTCGTCACTCTCCGAGTCTTGCTTGCTCGCCGCTCGCGCACCCGCACCCGCCTCCTCCGCGTCGTGCTCGGCAGGCGGCTCCTCGCCCGCGTCGGGCTGGGACGCGTCACCCTCGCTCAGCCGCCAGCTCTCGCACGAGCTCCCCCGCCCGGCAGGGCGCTGCGTCGGCGTGCCCACCGCACGCTCGTACTCGCCGCTCGCGATTGCGTCAAAGAGGCTCTCGACAAACGCGTCCGTCTCGCCAGAGAGGAAGTCGGTGAGGCTGTCGCGGCAGTACTCGCGCAGCTCGGCGTCGCTCTTGTCCTCCTTGCGCAGCAGCTCCCGCACGTACTCGGCCAGCACCGCCGGATCGGCGTCGCCGCAACTGCCGCGAGCGCGCGGGGGGTGAGCTGTCGCGATGGGACGGGCGAGCGGTGGGCACCGCAATAGGGAGGAGGCGCGCGCATGGGATCGAGCGCGGCGGCGAGCCAGTCCAAGAGGGAGGCCTCGTTCGCGACGAGCATGCTCCAGTCGCCACCCTGAGCCAGCTCAACCAGGGAGAAAGAAAACCCCGCCTTTGTTTTCTCTCCACAGCTCGCTCGCCGGCGCGGCTAGGCTCTCCCCACCTACATGTCCTACCTCCTCCCCCACCTGACGACGGGGTGGGCGGTCGACCAGGCCATTCTATCGGAGGAGGCGCGCGTCGTCTGCATCAGGTTCGGGCACGACTACGACCCCGTCTGCATGCAGATGGACGAGGTCCGCCGTCGATGATCGCGATCCGCCACGCCGCCGCTGCTGACCCAGCCGCCCGCGCCCGCGCTGCCACCGCTTCCACCGCTGCGCCGCCCACCCCGTACCGGCCTCACCCGCAGGTGCTGTACTCGATTGCGGAGCTCGTCAAGAACTACTGCGTCGTCTACCTCGTCGACACGACAGAGGTGCCCGACTTCAACACGATGTACGAGCTGTACGACCCGTGCACCGTCATGTTCTTCTACAGAAACAAGGCGCGCCCGGCGTCGCGCCGCCGCCCGCGACGGCGCCGCCCGCGACAACGCCGCCCGCGGGAGCCGCCCTCTCCTCACCGCCGCGCCGCCCGCCGCCGCGCAGCACATCATGATTGACTTGGGGACGGGCAACAACAACAAAATCAACTGGGCGATCCACGACAAGCAGGAGGTGATCGACATCATCGAGACGGTCTACCGCGGAGCGCGGAAGGGGCGCGGCCTCGTGGTGCGCCTCCCTCGAGCCTCCTCTTTCCTTCCCCGCCCCTCCCTCCCCCGCCTCTCCGAACCCTCCACGGCCCGCCGACGCCGCCGCCACTGCGCCTCAGGTGTCGCCGAAAGACTACTCGACCAAGTACAGGTATTAGGCGGTTCGCGGTGGAGGCGGGGCACGTTTGTATGTATCGGGGTCCAAAATACAAAAAGACCCGTACCCGGGCTCAAAAAAACCCCGCGCTTTTCGGCGGTCCGGTCTGTGTCGTATTGTGCGATTGTGCCAGAGGTGCACAAGCTGGGCGGGGCGGCCTTTGTGTAATTTTAGATGCTAGCTGATGTAAAAGATGATACAAAGCTCAGAGATCGCGATACCGATAGAGTAGAGTCTAGAGAGAGTGTGTAGAGAGAGTCTAGAGACACGCCGCTGCGCTCGGGCCTCGCCCCCTCGGCAATGGGCATCACGGCACCGACATGCCGCTCGGCTTGCGCGGCACACCTCGTCGCTCGCGCTGCCCACACACTCACACAGCGCCACACACCCGCCGCTCCGACACTGCGTGTTTTAGTCTATAGTCACCAGACAATCTGGGTGGCTCCATCCGGCCGCGCCGAAAGGCCCGGCTTTCGCCCGTCCTCAAGCCTGCATCGCCGTCGCCCACTGCTGGCGGCACGTCGCGTACGAAGCTCTGGAGCGAGGCCGGACGCACGCCGCCGCGAACCCCGCACCCGGCTGCAGCGGCTCCACGCCCGGGTCCTGCGCCTACAGATGGCAAATATGCGGTCGTCGCTCGCGCGCTCTCCTCGCCGCTGAGTCGGCCGGCTCCCGCTCTCCATGAACATAGCGGTGAGGGCCCAGCGCCTGCCTCGCTCGAGCCTGCGGATGCCGTGCGTGTTCTCCCACCCGCTGCTGAAGAAGGCGGCGCGCCCGACGGCCGGCTCCACCTCGAGCCACGGGCGCGTCGAGTTGTGGAAGAAGGAGAGGGAGCCGCCGTCAAAGTCCGCCTACTGCGAGAGAGGCACCCGTCGTTTTCGCGCCCTACGAGGCGTGCCGCGGCGTGGGGGCCCTCGCCCCCGCGCCGCTCAGCCAGAGCACCGAGGAGAAGTGGAAGCGCCTAGATCCAAGCTCGTGGCTCACCACCTCCCCCGCCCGAGGCGGCCGTCCGCGGTGCGCTGCCAGCGGCTCTTCTCGCCCTCGCCGTGCGGGAAGACCGCCTACACCCGCACACCCAGCCCATCCCCGGGGCCGAGCGGACGGGGTCTCCTGCTTAGCAAGTGTCGCCTCGTCGCAGTGCATCCTCGCCTCGAGGGAGGGGCCGGGCTGGCGCAGCGTCAGAAAGTGCTCGGCGAGGACGAGGTGCGAGCGAGGCAGCCCAAAGATGGCGGCGACGATGCGGCGGAGGCGCTCCGTGACGCGGAGCGTGAGGAGGTGGCCGGCCTGCGAGCCTCGCGTCGCCATCTCGAGAAAGTCGACTCGGCGCGAGCGCATGTAGAGCAGGTCGCCCTGCGGCCGGTGCGCCGAGGCGCCGTCCTCCGCTTCGATCACCTCCTGGCCGTGCGCGGTTAGCCGCCGCGCCTCCTCGGGCAGCACGACCGCGTCGCGTAGGTGGAGGCCGCAGTTGGACGGGTCGCACAGTGCGTGAGGGCAAGCGCGGCCGGAGATCAGCCGCTGAGCCAGCGGCTCGTGCCGGCCCACGAAGCTGCCACCCTCTGGTCGCAGGCACTCGAGGCGGCGAGCAAAGCTGCCCACGTCGGCGTGACCGGCACGAGTCTGCTCTCCCGTGACCGAGAGGCGCAGCGCTGGCTGCAGCGTGAGGCGGGCGTTGTAAGCTGCCTCGTCGGCCGCACACTGAGACCTAAACCAGGCGAGGTCCGCCTCGGCCGACGCCTCGGTGAAGCGGGTCGGCGCCTCTGCGGCCGGACTCAGGCATTCGGTCATTGATGTCAGTCACTGCAGCCGGCGAGGGTACGGCTGGCACTTCGTGCGCCGACCAGAGCGCCGACCAGGCGTATTTCGCGCCACTCTCGAGGTCTCTGGCAGCATCTGCTACGACTGTCCGAGCCTGGCTGTTCTTCACCTTTCTACCTACCTACCTACTACGACTCGTACGCCAGCCCTTCTTATATTTTTCTGTGTTTCTAGGTCAGAGATAGGACGCGCAGCGTGGGCAGCCGACTTTCGCAAGAGAGTCCCCCGGGGGCGCTTGGCGTCGCGAGGCCAGACGACCCCAGGCGCCGAGGCTTTCTTTCTTCAGGCTCGCTTGTCGGCATTATTTTTCTTTCTTCATTGGATAGACCCCGGGGGCCCTACGGCCCTTCACAGCTCACTCGCTCACACCTCGCACAGGCTCACAGCGCGACGCTGGAACCAGCGTACGGCAGGCAGGTGAACTCGAGTGGCGGAGGCGGCTCGACGAGGTCCGCGTCGTGCTCCGAGAGGGGCGGCGACGGCGCCTCGGGGAGCAGCAGCTCGGCTTTGGTGAAGGCAACAAGCTCTTCCTCCTCCTCCTCCTCCTCCTCCTCCTCCTCGTCCGGCGCATCCTCCACTTGCTGCGCGTCTGCCGCGCGCGGGACGTCGCAGCTCTGGCCGAGCTCGCGCACCAGCTTCTCCAGCGCCTCGGAGTCGTCGCCTTTGAGGCCGAGGCTCGCGCCGAGCGGCAGAACGTCCGCGAGCGAAAAGGTGAGAGCCGGGTCAACGGCGCGAGGCGGGGTCGGGAAGAGAAGCAGGCTGGCGACCCATGCCGCTTTGGGCTCAGGCGCCCACGGGGCAGCGTCGTCGCCGGCACTGCCACTGGCGAGCACCGCTTTGATCACGCGGAAAACGCCAATGTCGCTCACATCCCCGACAATGCCGGCGGCGCGCGAGAACCGGACCAAACTCCTCAGCCAAGACCTCCGAGTCGAACTCCGTCCGTGGGTAGGGCGAGTCCGCGGGCCAGAACGCCAGGAAGAAGCGCGCGATCGCCTCAGCCCGCCACGGCGACGCGCCCTGAATCAGCGCTTGCGAGCTGTGCCAGGACACGTTTCGGCGGAGGATGTGTCCGAGAGAGGCCTCGATCGCAACGAGACTGGCGTCGCCAACAAGCCCGCGGTACCACTTCCGGCCTCGTGCGCCTTCGCGAAGCAGCATGTCTTCGAGGCCGGAGGCCGCCGTGGTGAGCACGTGCGGAGGCAGGCGCATGAAGGCGCTCGCGGCGAAGAAGGCCATCGGGCTCACTGGGCGAGAGCCCTCCTGCTCGCGTCCTTCCCAGAATTCGGGTTGCAGGCACAAGCTGCTCGCGGTTTTTCCGCACTCCATGGAAGCAACACAGAGCGCGCCAGCCGAGTACAGGTCGAGGTGCCGGAAGACGCAGCGAGCGACGACGATTTCCGCCATCACGCCATTGAGTCCAGCCTGCTTCACGGCACGCGGAGCCGAGAGATGCCGCATCGCTTCCGCCGCAGGCGCATCGCGTGCGAGGAAATCGTTCGGCGTCACAGTCGCGTCACACGTTGACAATGTGGCTTCCGCAGGCGAGGGGGGCTGCTTGTTGCCCGTTGCCGGTGTCAGCATTTGTGCTCTCTGATTCGGGCTCTCAGGCGCTCTCCGAAAAATATTTTTTTGCTTTTCGCGGACACGGCCTCTTCTCGCCAATACTACCCTCCAACAAATCGCAAGCACAACCCACACGATCACCGCTGGCCTTTGCTGTGCTAGCGCCCCCGACGACGCGCATTCGCCAACGCCCTGATCACTTGTCGAGTCCCAAAACGTCCCGGCGCTGCCGCTCCCACTCCGCCTCGCTGATGAGGCCGTCGTCGTGCAGCTTCTTGCACGCCAGCAACTTCTTTCTCACCTGCGGCGCACCGCCGGGGCCCCTCGCTAGGGGCGCTCCCATCACCTACTTCCACCTCTGTCCCGCGCTGCGGGCGAGCTCGGTGTCTAGCGTGGGAGAGGCTCGCCTCCTCAGAGCTCTCGCCCTTGGCCTGCGCTTTGCCGTCCGTCGGCTTCTTGCGCGCCTACAGGGCTCGACCACTCCAGGTCCCAGCTCTCCCCTTCCCTCTCCGACATTTGACGAGGCACCTCGGCGAGAAGTTCTCGGACACATTGCTTCTCCTCACGACTCAGCGGTCCCAGCCCCAAAAAGTCGCGCAGCGTCTGAGAAGGGGGGGGGGGAGCGGCGGTGGAGTCCGGCTGCTTCTTTGAAGAGCAACGAGCAGCCCGCCTGTTCCTCCTCCCCATCGTCGTCCCCTGCCATCGCCTCCGGAACAGCCTCGCTCGCCTACAGTCCTCCACGTGCCCGTCTCATCCGCTTGTTCTGGCGTGTCTGGCCTGTCGCACAGTCTGAAAGCGCCGCGTCGGCCGCATCCTCAAGCTTTTCCCGCCCCGCCCCGAGCGCTTTCTTAGTGATGTCGCCAAACTGGGGAGGCGGACCGGCGGCGTGAGGTGCAGGAATTGCTGCGTGTGGAGGTGCGCAATGGCGTGCGACAGTCCCTTGTAGGGCGTTCGAAGAGGGAGCAGGCGGAGCAGAACAGTGGCCGGGGTGTATGGGTAGTTGTGGAGGCAGTACTTCTACCATACTTGGTAGTCTTCTCCCACCACGCTGCGCGTGATGTCGCCAAACTTGTAGTTGCCTGCGGGAGTGGGGCCGCGAGTCACTAGGAAATCACGGCCCCACCTGAGCGCAAGCGTTGTTCTTTCAAGTGCGCGCCTACGCCGCTTGCCACCCCGCCGACAGCATCGCCTGCATGGCTAGCCGCGTCCTCCATGGCCTGTGCAGCAAGTGACAAGGCGGCACAGCTTAAAAGCGATGTCTTACCCCAGAGGAAGGAGACTCGGACGGCATGCCCCACGCCTGAGCAGCTTGACTCGCCGCATCCTCAACCGCTCCCTTCGCATGATCAAACGCGTCGCTAACGAACCCGAACATGCGTGCAGGTGCAGCACCGACGGTGAGTGAGCGCGAGCGGGCGGAGTCTGCTCGTCGGACGGACGCGGGCGGAGGGACGCACGTTCTCAAAGCGAAGCGAGAAAAGAAGCAACTTTTCCGCTGCAGTAGTATGTGGCTCTTTACGTACCCGAAAGGTGGACTGCGGACAGGGTTTGCGATGAATAGCGACTCCGAAGGGTGTTCGGGATTTTTCTTAGCTTGTGCACGTTATTCTCGCGCAGGACTATCTATGTATGTAAAAAGGAGAGGGCAAAGATTTCGTCAGGGAGGGGGAACTGGAAACGAATCGGAAACGAATCGGAACCCGAAAACGCATATGAGCAACGTCAGGAGCCTTCGCCAGGTCGTGTGAAGAGCACTGATGCCGCAGTGAGTGAGTGGTCCCGGGCCCTGCGGGAACTAAGTCGGCGCAAGTTAGTCTGTGAGCTGGACGAGGGCTAGTGGTGCGCCGTGGCGGATCAAGTGGTGAAGTGCTCCCCCGGGAGTCGTGGTCGGAGGCCGGGACACTACACGCGCACTAACTTAGTGTGCGGAAGTGAGTGCCTCCGGCCGGCCGCGAGGGGAGTGGTCCGGCGGGCCGCTCGTAGTGCCCTTCGCCGGCGGACGGAGGCGGGCTCGGCTACCACGCGCACTAACTTAGTGTGCGGAAGTGAGTGCCTCCGGCCGGCCGGGGGGGAGTGGTCCAGCGGGCCGCTCGCAGTGCCCTTCGCCGGCGGACGGAGAGGTGGGCTCGGCTACCACGCGCACTAAGTTAGTGCGCGTAGTGAGTGGGCCGCCGGCGAGCGGGCTAGTGGGTGAGTGCCTCCTGCCACCCCGCGCACTAAGATAGTGCGCGTAGTGAGTGGGCTGCCGGCGAGCGGGCTAGTTAGTGGGTGAGTGCCTCCTGCCACCCCGCGCACTAAGATAGTGCGCGTGGTGGGTGGGCCGCCTTCTAGTGGTCGGCGAGGCCGTGGCCAGTGCCCCGGCCCTGCGGCGCCGCCTAGTGAGTGAGTGCTCGCCGACCCTCCCCACACTAAGTCGGCATCGGTGCTGTGTTTTTTAGTTGGCGAAGGCTCCTGGCAACGTCGAATATAGGATGGACAGGGACGCAATCGCAGTTCGCGAGGGTCGGGAAACTGGAAGTGGCCCGCATGCGTGCGCGGCACACGGGAGAGGGAGTGGCGCGGCGAAAGGCGCACCAGGAGCGGCAGCGCGACGAGCGCGAGCAGCGGGAGGAGGCCGATAGGGCGGCGGGGACCGCCCTGCCACCCGAAGAGGGCGGCGTCGAGTTGGTGAGCGCCGACGACGTGTTGAAGGGTGTGGCCGAGACCGGCCCGAACTACACGCTGCTGCCGAAGCGGGAGCGGAAGGCAAAGCGGCGGCGGCGGCGGCGGGCAGCCGCCGAAGCGTCGGGCGAGAGCGCGAGCGAGGATGGCATGGATGGGCTCCACGTGGAGATGCGCGTACCGTACGCTGTTCTCTGATCTCTCTCGTCTGTGAGGACTCGGAGGATTGAGCCGGTGCACAGAGTGGAGAGAGAGAGAGAGAGAGCACACACACCGACGCGAGAGGCACACGCACCACCATATTGGTCATCCACCGCACACCCGTAATAAAACCAAACCGCTGCGAGGCGCGAACTATGCGCCGCTGTCCATCATATCACATTGCGCAACCGCACATCGCCGTCGGGAGAGTCACTCAAGTCTCAACCAGCTGAAGGTGATAGGGGGGAGCTCGCAGGTTCAGCGGCCGCGAGTGATCCCAATGCCGCAGCCGGCCGCGCGGCTCGTTGGTGACAGCAAAGATGGGGACTTGCCAGCCCAGGACGCGGCTCATGTGGGAGCGCAGTTGGCGCAGGACGGGGAGGTCCCTGCCCTCTTGGCCGGTGGAGCGGAAGAAGAGCAGTACTCATCAACGCCAAGGCAAGCACCCCCAATCTCCCACTTCCCTCTCCCGAGTCTGAGAGACTCTCTCGAGTCTCGTTAAAGGTTGACCAGGAAACCGGGCGCCATACATGCCATGTGTGCCTGGGGCCCTGGCCAAAAAACGCTAATTGTAAAACGGACGAGAAATGCTGATCCTCTCGGCTCTGGGGGGAGGCGGGGGCCCTAGAGGGCATCCATGCGGGGGGGAGATGGGGTTAGCCCCCCGCTACCCGGTTGCACTCGTGCGACGTAGCGGGGGGCCACAACTACGTTTACGAAAACATAAGTAGTCCCGCGAGGTGTGAATTTGGCCGCCCCAGTAGCCCCCTTTCCATCGGCTTGATTTTGCGGCGCGTCCCAGGGCGTCCAAACTTGTTTGGGCGCGAACCGTATCTCGCAACGAATCTCGCCGGCCTCACCGGCCCTCTTTGACCGACGCCACCGTCCGCTCGACTGCCCGATGAAGAGCGACCCGTACGACGCGCACTTCTCGTCCTCCCTCCTCGCCACATGACGGCCGCCCCCCGACACCGACAGTCGCGCTCCGCACGCCTTCGAGGTCAGCTGCGGCCGAGCGACGATCGGCTCGCCTCCGATCGCTGGGCGCGGTCACTCTCCGGCCCATCACCCGCCTGCCGATCACCTGTCCGCCTCGCCGCGCGCGGGCCGCTCGCCTGCTCGCCACACCGCCGCCGCGCGTCCCCGCGCCGCCACGCTTCCCTGTGCACCTGACGGCGCTGCGCAGACGGCGCGCTCTGGCAGACAGAGCAGCGGCCGCCCAGGCGGTCGCTGCTCCGCCCCGTCCGAATCCGTCCGCCCGCGCGTGCCGTTGCCGCCGCCGCCGCCGCTCCACCCGGTGCCCGTGTGTCGTGAGAGTTGCTTTGTGTATGTGTATGTCGTATTTGTGTGGACTTATGTCACACTTGAGCCTCTATCTATGATAGTAGACCGGTACTCGGGTTTGGATGGTAGCGGGGGGCCCCGCCGGAGGCTGGTTACTGATGCTTATATTCTCCCCGGACCGACTATATTCTCGAGAATATTCTCGAATATTGAGAATATTTTGACCACGCGTAGGTTGTTGCGCCGCTTCTTTGCGATGAGTTGCTCGGGCTCGCAGAAGCGCATGCCGAGCACTGCCTCAATCTTGAAGCAGAATGTCGGCACGACCGCATCGTCCGCACCGCCACCTGCCAGCCGCGCCTGGCGCAGCGCCGATGCTGCCTTTTGGCACCGGTAGCGAACGCACATGGTGCGGTGCGCGTACTTGAGCAGGCGGTGCGAGCCGCAGTTGGCGCAGGGGCCCTGGGAGTAGGGCGCGCGCGGCATTGACGCGGACCCAGGTATTTTTCGGGTATATACCTGGTTTTTTGCAGGTATACCCGGTTTTACCCGGAGGGTGTGCCAACACCGTTCTAACGGCGTGCTAACACTTGTTTTGGGACTGCCGTTAGACTGTGCTAACACCGACCTTTGCGCCAAGTGTTGGCACGATCTGTAGTCAGTGCTCCCCCTGAGGTGTGCTAACGTTAGTCCACCAGCCCTGACTGGAGTTGGAAGATAGTAGATAGATGCTAGAAGAACCTGCACAGAACTCTCGGTGCAGACTGTAGTATGCAGAAGCAGTGTCGTCCCCCCTCTCCCCGACGGCGATGGCGGTGTGACCGATCGAGCTACAAGAGGAGCTTGTTCAGCAGGATCCGGGATAGTCAGAT